CGTGGACTCGGTCGATGTGGAGGTGGATTCAGTCGATGTACTGGTGGACTCGGTCGAGGTGGAGGTGGATTCAGTCGAGGTACTCGTGGACTCGGTCGAGGTACTGGTTGACTCGGTCGAGGTGGAGGTGGATTCAGTCGAGGTACTCGTGGACTCGGTCGAGGTACTGGTTGACTCGGTCGAGGTGGAGGTGGATTCAGTCGAGGTACTCGTGGACTCGGTCGAGGTACTGGTTGACTCGGTCGAGGTGGAGGTGGATTCAGTCGAGGTACTCGTGGACTCGGTCGAGGTACTGGTTGACTCGGTCGAGGTGGAGGTGGATTCAGTCGAGTTACTCGTGGACTCGGTCGAGGTACTGGTTGACTCGGTCGAGGTGGAGGTGGATTCAGTCGAGGTACTCGTGGACTCGGTCGAGGTACTGGTTGACTCGGGCGATGTGGAGGTGGATTCAGTCGAGGTACTCGTGGACTCGGTCGAGGTACTGGTTGACTCGGTCGAGGTGGAGGTGGATTCAGTCGAGGTACTCGTGGACTCGGTCGAGGTACTGGTTGACTCGGTCGATGTGGAGGTGGATTCAGTCGAGGTACTCGTGGACTCGGTCGAGGTACTCGTTGACTCGGTCGATGTGGAGGTGGATTCAGTCGAGGTACTCGTGGACTCGGTCGAGGTACTCGTGGATTCGGTCGAGGTACTGGTGGACTCGGTCGAGGTGGAGGTGGATTCAGTCGAGGTACTCGTGGACTCGGTCGAGGTACTGGTGGACTCGGTCGAGGTGGAGGTGGATTCAGTCGAGGTACTCGTGGACTCGGTCGAGGTACTGGTGGACTCGGTCGAGGTGGAGGTGGATTCAGTCGAGGTACTCGTGGACTCGGTCGAGGTACTGGTTGACTCGGTCGAGGTGGAGGTGGATTCAGTCGAGGTACTCGTGGACTCGGTCGAGGTACTGGTTGACTCGGTCGAGGTGGAGGTGGATTCAGTCGAGGTACTCGTGGACTCGGTCGAGGTACTGGTTGACTCGGGCGATGTGGAGGTGGATTCAGTCGAGGTACTCGTGGACTCGGTCGAGGTACTGGTTGACTCGGTCGAGGTGGAGGTGGATTCAGTCGAGGTACTCGTGGACTCGGTCGAGGTGGAGGAGGATTCAGTTGAGGTACTCGTTGACTCGGTCGAGGTGGAGGTGGATTCAGTCGAAGTACTCGTGGACTCGGTCGAGGTGGAGGTCGATTCAGTCGAGGTACTCGTGGACTCGGTCGAGGTACTGGTTGACTCGGTCGATGTGGAGGTGGATTCACGTCGAGGTACTCGTGGACTCGGTCGATGTGGAGGTGGATTCAGTCGATGTACTGGTGGACTCGGTCGAGGTGGAGGAGGATTCACTCGACGTACTCGACGACTCCGTCGACGGACTGGACGACTACCTCGAGGGGGTGGACGAGTACCTCGACTGAATCCACCTCCACCTCGACCGAGTCCACGAGTACCTCGACTGAATCCACCTCCACCTCGACCGAGTCCACGAGTACCTCGACCGAGTCCACGAGTACCTCGACTGAATCCACCTCCACATCGACCGAGTCCACGAGTACCTCGACTGAATCCACCTCCACCTCGACCGAGTCCACGAGTACCTCGACTGAATCCACCTCCACCTCGACCGAGTCCACGAGTACCTCGACTGAATCCACCTCCACCTCGACCGAGTCCACGAGTACCTCGACTGAATCCACCTCCACATCGACCGAGTCCACGAGTACCTCGACTGAATCCACCTCCACCTCGACCGAGTCCACGAGTACCTCGACTGAATCCACCTCCACCTCGACCGAGTCCACGAGTACCTCGACCGAGTCCACGAGTACCTCGACTGAATCCACCTCCACCTCGACCGAGTCCACGAGTACCTCGACTGAATCCACCTCCACCTCGACCGAGTCCACGAGTACCTCGACTGAATCCACCTCCACCTCGACCGAGTCCACGAGTACCTCGACTGAATCCACCTCCACCTCGACCGAGTCCACGAGTACCTCGACTGAATCCACCTCCACCTCGACTGAATCCACCTCCACGAGTACCTCGACTGAATCCACCTCCACATCGACCGAGTCCACGAGTACCTCGACCGAGTCCACGAGTACCTCGACTGAATCCACCTCCACCTCGACCGAGTCCACGAGTACCTCGACTGAATCCACCTCCACATCGACCGAGTCCACGAGTACCTCGACTGAATCCACCTCCACCTCGACCGAGTCAACCAGTACCTCGACCGAGTCCACGAGTACCTCGACTGAATCCACCTCCACCTCGACCGAGTCCACGAGTACTTCGACTGAATCCACCTCCACCTCGACCGAGTCCACGAGTACCTCGACTGAATCCACCTCCACCTCGACCGAGTCCACGAGTACCTCAACTGAATCCACCTCCACCTCGACCGAGTCCACGAGTACCTCGACTGAATCCACCTCCACCTCGACCGAGTCCACGAGTACCTCGACTGAATCCACCTCCACCTCGACCGAGTCCACGAGTACCTCGACCGAGTCCACGAGTACCTCGACTGAATCCACCTCCACATCGACCGAGTCCACGAGTACCTCGACTGAATCCACCTCCACCTCGACCGAGTCCACGAGTACCTCGACTGAATCCACCTCCACATCGACCGAGTCCACGAGTACCTCGACTGAATCCACCTCCACCTCGACCGAGTCCACGAGTACCTCGACCGAGTCCACGAGTACCTCGACTGAATCCACCTGCACATCGACCGAGTCCACGAGTACCTCCACCGAGTCCACCTGCACATCGACCGAGTCCACGAGTACCTCGACTGAATCCACCTGCACCTCGACCGAGTCCACGAGTACCTCGACCGAGTCCACGAGTACCTCGACCGAGTCCACGAGTACCTCGACTGAATCCACCTGCACCTCGACCGAGTCCACGAGTACCTCGACTGAATCCACCTGCACCTCGACCGAGTCCACGAGTACCTCGACTGAATCCACCTGCACCTCGACCGAATCCACGAGTACCTCGACTGAATCCACCTCCACCTCGACCGAGTCCACGAGTACCTCGACTGAATCCACCTCCACATCGACCGAGTCCACGAGTACCTCGACTGAATCCACCTCCACCTCGACCGAGTCCACGAGTACCTCGACTGAATCCACCTCCACCTCGACTGAATCCACCTCCACATCGACCGAGTCCACGAGTACCTCGACTGAATCCACCTCCACATCGACCGAGTCCACGAGTACCTCGACTGAATCCACCTCCACCTCGACCGAGTCCACGAGTACCTCGACCGAGTCCACGAGTACCTCGACTGAATCCACCTCCACATCGACCGAGTCCACGAGTACCTCGACTGAATCCACCTGCACCTCGACCGAGTCCACGAGTACCTCGACTGAATCCACCTCCACCTCGACCGAGTCCACGAGTACCTCGACCGAGTCCACGAGTACCTCGACTGAATCCACCTCCACCTCGACCGAGTCCACGAGTACCTCGACTGAATCCACCTCCACCTCGACCGAGTCCACGAGTACCTCGACTGAATCCACCTGCACCTCGACCGAGTCCACGAGTACCTCGACTGAATCCACCTCCACCTCGACCGAGTCCACGAGTACCTCGACCGAGTCCACGAGTACCTCGACTGAATCCACCTGCACTTCGACCGAGTCAACGAGTACCTCGACCGAGTCCACGAGTACCTCGACTGAATCCACCTCCACCTCGACCGAGTCCACGAGTACATCGACTGAATCCACCTCCACATCGACCGAGTCCACGAGTACCTCGACCGAGTCCACAAGTACCTCGACTGAATCCACCTCCACATCGACCGAGTCCACGAGTACCTCGACCGAGTCCACGAGTACCTCAACTGAATCCACCTCCACATCGACCGAGTCCACGAGTACCTCGACCGAGTCCACGAGTACCTCGACTGAATCCACCTGCACTTCGACCGAGTCCACGAGTACCTCGACCGAGTCCACGAGTACCTCGACTGAATCCACCTCCACCTCGACCGAGTCCACGAGTACCTCGACCGAGTCCACGAGTACCTCGACCGAGTCCACGAGTACCTCGACTGAATCCACCTCCACCTCGACCGAGTCCACGAGTACCTCGACTGAATCCACCTCCACCTCGACCGAGTCCACGAGTACCTCGACTGAATCCACCTGCACCTCGACCGAGTCCACGAGTACCTCGACTGAATCCACCTGCACCTCGACCGAGTCCACGAGTACCTCGACCGAGTCCACCAGTACCTCGACTGAATCCACCTGCACCTCGACCGAGTCCACGAGTACCTCGACTGAATCCACCTGCACCTCGACCGAGTCCACGAGTACCTCGACGAATCCACCTGCACCTCGACCGAGTCCACGAGTACCTCGACTGAATCCACCTGCACCTCGACCGAGTCCACCAGTACCTCGACCGAATCCACGAGCACCTCGACTGAATCCACCTGCACCTCGACCGAGTCCACCAGTACCTCGACCGAGTCCACCAGTACCTCGACTGAATCCACCTGCACCTCGACCGAGTCCACGAGTACCTCGACTGAATCCACCTGCACATCGACCGAGTCCACGAGTACCTCGACTGAATCCACCTCCACCTCGACCGAGTCCACGAGTACCTCGACTGAATCCGCCTCCACATCGACTGAGTCCACGAGTACCTCGACTGAGTCCACGAGTACTTCGACCGAATCCACGAGTACCTCGACTGAATCCACCTCCACCTCGACCGAGTCCACGAGTACCTCGACTGAATCCACCCCCACCTCGACCGAGTCCACGAGTACCTCGACTGAATCCACCTCCACCTCGACCGAGTCCACGAGTACCTCGACTGAATCCACCTCCACATCGACCGAGTCCACGAGTACCTCGACTGAATCCACCTCCACCTCGACCGAGTCCACGAGTACCTCGACTGAATCCACCTCCACATCGACCGAGTCCACGAGTACCTCGACTGAATCCACCTCCACCTCGACCGAGTCCACGAGTACCTCGACCGAGTCCACGAGTACCTCGACTGAATCCACCTCCACATCGACCGAGTCCACGAGTACCTCCACCGAGTCCACCTGCACCTCGACCGAGTCCACGAGTACCTCGACTGAATCCACCTGCACCTCGACCGAGTCCACGAGTACCTCGACCGAGTCCACGAGTACCTCGACCGAGTCCACGAGTACCTCGACTGAATCCACCTGCACCTCGACCGAGTCCACGAGTACCTCGACTGAATCCACCTGCACCTCGACCGAGTCCACGAGTACCTCGACTGAATCCACCTGCACCTCGACCGAATCCACGAGTACCTCGACCGAGTCCACCTGCACCTCGACCGAGTCCACGAGTACCTCGACCGAATCCACGAGTACCTCGA